CTGTGCAGTGTCATATGACATCTATGTACCAAGTTTCATTGAAATGTGATGATTAGTACTTGAGATATCAGTGGAAAAACCGAAAATTGACTAATCATTATGCAAATTAGGTAATTAGTATCCACGGATTATTACCAAAAACTAATCAAAACCTAGCATTAGTTCAGAGCAACTATGTACCAAGTTTCATCAAAATCCAATGAGTGGTTGTTTAGATATCAGTGGAACAGTCATGGAACCACTAAAAAATAGCTAATTATCATGCAAATTAGGTAATTAATATGAACGGATTTTTACCAAAAACTAATCAAATCTGCGCATATGTTCAGAGCATCTATGTACCAAGTTTCATCAAAATCCAATGAGTGGTTCTTTAGATATCAGTGGAACAGTCATAGAAACAGCTAAAAATTAGCTAATTATCATGCAAATTAGGTAATTAACGAGCATGGATTTTTACCGAAACCTAATCAAATCTGCGCATTGGCCCAGAGCATCTATGCACCAAGTTTCATCAAAAACCGATGTATGGTTCTTGAGATAGCAGTGGAACAGTCGGACACACATACACACACACACACACACATACCCACACACACACACCCACCCACCCACACACACACACACACACACACACATACAGAGACACTAACTGCAAAGACTCCCATTTTGTGCTTCGCACATGGGAGTCAAAAATAAAATGACGAGCATCAGGAACCCGTAATGTCTAATTTATGTAACAAGTTTGAACAAAATCCAACCATAAATGCTTGATATTTGATGATTTTTCAGCACAAAAATGACCACCATTCGGCCATTTTGAATAGGATAGTTAAACCAATATATCTGTTTATCTGTGACATGATGTATAATGAATATTTAAAATTTGAAAATATTATCAGTCAAAACAAGTCGAAGATATGGGTCTAGAAGCCCATTCATTAAAACAAAATGGCCGCCAGACAGCCATTTTGAATCCGATCTGAAAAATAAATGATGTGCATCAGGAACCTGTAATGTCTAATATATGTACCAAGTTTGAACGAAATCCACCCATAAATGCCAGAAATGCTTGATATTTGATGATTGTTTAGCACAAAAAAGGTCACCATTTGGCCATTTTGAATAGGATCGTCAAACCAATATATCTGTCTATCTATGACATGATATATAATGAATATTTAAAATTTGAACATAATCAGTGAAAGCAGTACAGTGGTGGATCTAGCAAAATGTTTTGGGGGGGGGGGTCCAAGCTTTGGTTAAGATATACAGAGTGTAAATTGCAGTGAAGTTATGCGTAATCCAGATCATATGAATCGTCATGCGTTTGGGGGGGCATGGCGCCCCTCCAACCCCCGGATCTGCCACTGATATGGCACGAGAACCACATTCCTTAATACAAATCTTATCTGAAAAACAAAATTATTTGCATCAAGGTCCCATAATGTCTAATGTATATACCAAATTTGAACAAAATCCATCTGTAAACAGCTGAGAAATGGTTGATTTTTAGGATTTTTAAGCACAAAAATGGCCGCCATTCGGCCATCTTGAATCAGATCGTGAAATAAATTGACGTGCATATGTATAATATCATGTATGATGTATGTGTGAAGTTTGATTGTGATTGGTCCAGGCATTTGTAAGATAAAGGTCCGGACGCACACACGCACGGACACACGGAGGTCAAAACATAAGTCCCCGTTTTCGGACTGCATCCGAACGGGGACTAATAAATTAACTGTAATATATAAAATACTGTCAATCAAGAGGTTATTAATTTTATGAAAATGTGGTGTCCCTGGTCATGTAATGAATGACCAACATGGTAATAGCTCATCTCTGTAGGCCTGGTAAATGGGGCATTTGAAAATTAGGTGTAATCTTCAATTATTCCGCTATTGCATAATACACATTTCCTTTCAAAATGATCAATATTATGCATACGGCCAGATTCTATTGCTAATTTGTGACTCGAGCAACAAAGCTTTGAAACCGATTTTCACACTTATACTGATAATATATTTTTAAATAGTATAGTGTTGTTTTACCTGGCAGAACAAATTTAGGTGGCTCATAGTTGAGCATTCTTCCCACCATTTCTGTTGCCACATGTCCCTAATTCTTTGCGCAAAAATTTGCAAGGAATGCAATTTCATTTCCCACCCCTTGATTGATCCACACTATCCCAAATCCATACCTATTCAAAATATCTTGAATATGCGTTACCCAGTTAACTTTACCACGTTTGTCTTCCCGTACTAAAAGATAAGATTGCTTAGCAATCCTATTTTCTTCCATACATAATAATTTTAACCACCATTTGATACATTTAATATATGTAGTAGTAAAAACTGGGTAACGTTATAGTTCACCTAATGTTTTCATATGTTAACATTATGGAGAGCTTTACTTGCTTGGTCTGATAATGTTTCTGTAGCTTTGTGCCAAACATTCCTACTGGAGAAAACGATACCTAAATACTTATAATAATAAGGGTCCACTTCTAAAATTAGGCCATTATATGACCATTTCTCAGTTTTCTTAACAATACCCCCATTTATGAAAACAATGATTTTGGTTTTTGATAGATTAACCTTCATTTCCTATTTTTCATTAAATAGACTGAGGACGTTTAGCAGTCTCTGTAGACCTGTTACAGTATCAGAAAATAACACAATATCATCTGCATAAAACAGAATAATAAACAGGTCTTTCAATTCCTGTGTTATTTGAATACCCATGTGAACAGCGTTTTCAAGCATTACTTGCAATTCATTTATAAACATAGCAAAAGCTAGGGG